GATCTTGTCCTAACGACTTAATATTATCTTTCATTAAAATCAGATCACCATTCTTCAAAATTGTCTCAAACTTGAAAAAACATAAATAAAAAATATCACTAAATTATAAATTGTAAATAATAACTCAAACTAAATGACAAAAAAAAATCTTAAATATGAAAATTTACGTTGTTTCTTGATTATCATCATCCAATATCCAATCATAAACTTCTCGGTCCCTTGAACTTGCTTTTGAAATATTGAGTTGTTTCAGTTCAAGTTTCTCCTCCTTCTCTTTTCCTTTCCTTTTCTTTTGAGCTATCTGCTCTTCCTCCACCTTCTCCCTCTCTCTTTCCTCTCTTTCTTTCTACTCCATCTCCTTCTTCTCTTTTTCCTCTCTTTCTTTCTTCTCCTTCTCTTTCTTTTCCTTCTCTTTCTCCTCTTTCTTCTTCTGCTCTCTCTCCTTCTGCTCCCTCCCCTTCTCTTTCTCCTCCTTCTCCTTCTTCTCTTTCTCATTCTCTCTCTCCTTCTTCTCCATCTCCTTCTTCTCTTTCTACTCTCTTTCTTTCTTCTCCTTCTCATTCTTCTCCCTCTCTTTCTCCTCTTTCTCCTTCTGCTTCTATTTCTCCTCTTGCTGCAATCTCTCTCTCTTCTCTCTTTCTTGCTTCTCCTTCTCCTTCTTCTCCCTCTCTTTCTCCTCTTTCTCCTTCTCCTTCTCTTTCTCCTCTTGCTGCAATCTCTCTCTCTCCTCTCTTTCTTTCTTCTCTTTCTCATTCTTCTCCCTCTCTTTCTCCTCTTTCTCCTTCTGCTTCTCTTTCTCCTCTTGCTGCAACCTCTCTTTCTCTTTTTCTTTCTCATTTTCTGCTCTCACTCTCTCTTCTTCTTCCAACAGCTTCTCTCTATCAATTCTCTCTCTCTTTCTCTTTCTCAAGTTTCTCCCTCTCTTTCTCTTCCTTCTCTTTCTCTTCTCTTTCTCTATCAATTTTCTCCTGCATCTCCATCTTCACTTTTTCTCTCCCACTGCTCTCTGACGGTTTCTTCATTGCAGTTTGAATCTCCTTCACTTTCTTAAACACAACTGCAAGAGGAGCATCCTCAAGAATTTCTGCAGGGGTTTGGGGTTGAGGGATAGCAACAATATCCAGATTCATCTTCGTCCTTTTCTCCTCTTTCTTTCTCTTTCTGTCCTCTTTCTTCTTCCTTTTTCTCTCTCCCTCCTTCTCCTTCTCCTCTCTCGCTTTGTCTTCTCTTTCTTTAATTTGTCTCTGCACCTCTTGATCTACTAGCTTCTTAAATGCAGCTTCTT